TTTCAGTGTTGACGTATTTACCGAGCCGCGACATTGTACATTCGTTAAAACAAAGATTTTTATTAAATATATTTATTTTTTCTGTTTAATATTATTGGGTATGTATACATTTGCATTAAATTAATATTAAAATACTAAACGTTTAGGTACCCACGAGTCAAGATATTAAACTTAATAGTCCAATAAATGGCGTCCGAATCCATAGCGCCAATGAATGTATCCCATATCAGTTTATTCAGGAAAACACCTTACGACGCAATAGCATTTCTGGCGATCACAAATTATCGTTAGTGAGACAAATCTACTTCTCGTTGTCCAGACGATATTTATCTCTCCTTAGCCACCTTGAATTATCCCGCTCAAACTGACCTTATATATGCGCTATGGCGATCAGTGGATGAGCAATCAGTGTCTTTGCTCATCCATAGCTCTACGTCGGGTTAACGTATCCTTTCAACTAAGGAAAGTTTGACGGATGAAGTTTGTGAGTTAGACAATGTTGGGAGCGAAGTGCAAATGTAAAAAGGAGCATCATATTCGACCATATTCCGAAATTCTTAATGAAAGAAATAAAAAATGTAAACAATTAAAGATGGATACTTTTTTCCGAAAAATGTAAGAAATTTGAAACTAAAATTTTTAAATAAAACCATTTTACTTTATTTTATGATAAAATACATTTTAAAAATTAAAAATTTATATGTATTTTGTATTATATTGTATTAATAAACAAAATTATTTGCGTATTTTTCACTTAAGTGGAACCTAACCCTATATCTCACTATAAATATGGGTTTGTTTTACGCCGATTTGATTTGCGCCGGCTTTTGTAGGAACGGAACTGCGGCGTAAACCGAGGGCTACCTGTATAGTAATCTATAATTGATTAAAAATTTGTAAAAATTATTGATCAGATAAGTAACCACAAAGAAAGGGTTTGACAGTGTTAAAAACCAAGAGGGATATATGATGTAGGAATCAAATGATTAAGAAAAAAAGGTCTTTATATTAACATTATCAAAACAACATGAACCATGTGATTTTAAATAAATTATTCTTATTCAGTGCTGTCTAGAGATAGATACAGTCCAAATGCAATCATATCTGGTCTGGTAACATTTCAGGATATGTGGAAGGCATTTTTATGAAAAAATTTGTATGATAATTTTGGCAATGGAAAACATTGTTAAACAGTCAATGAATACTGTTGCAGGCTCCATTAGTGTACTTACTGTATCATAGCAAAATGTGGAAGGTATTTGAGAAATTTGGTGCCTTGTTATCTGTTAAAGGTCAGTCAATCATAGCCAGCAGTTACCAACAGAGAATCCAGATTGACTTTCTTTAACACCAAATTCTTCAAATTCAAACTGGATAATAACTATGTATGTTTCAATAACCCTACATCATCCAATCCAGTAGGATAACACTAAAGCAATTTAAATGTTTTTGGTCCAAACTGAAGGCCTTCCTCAGGAACAATGAGTTCTAAAAATGGAATGCTAACTTACAACATAACATAAACTTTAAAAACTTGAACTAATGAGATTCGAAGATTGAATGGAATTACATTGTCAAAATGTAGTATGTCCCTGTCAATTTGAGAAAAGACATTGCTGATGCGGGCTTACAGTTTTGGCACAGTGGTTGGTCACTATCAACCGGAATGACTATATAAACCTTCATATACCCTCACACAAAAAAATCACACAGGATTAAGTTGGAGTATGGAGGCCATGACAGAAGATGGTAAGCATCATTTCTGACGTGATCAATCCATTGGTTTGGTAGTTTGATGATCAAGAAGTTAGACATTTCAGTGGAAATGTGGCAGAACCACCATTCAATATCTGGTTTAGACAGTGTTTTAATTTGAGTGGAAGTCACCATTTTGATTTGTTTGTCATAAAGTTTAGATAAAAATGGATATAGTTTATTTGATAAATATTGTAAACAAGATGAAGTAACAAAATTATTCATTTTGACAGTTAGGAAGGGAGAGAGTAATATGAAATTGAAATAATTCTTTAGAAATTTATTCCAAAGAAAAATTCCAAATTTAGTATAGATTTTCTAAATATGGATTTGTTAATATTTTAAGCATGGCTGTGGAGTTGGTCGGAGTCGTGGAGTTTTGGTGTTTTAGCCAGAGTTGGAGTCGTCAAAAAATCCACCGACTCCGACTCCTTTTTACTTACCAACTTGTTCTGTATGTAAAACGAAAAAGTATTGAAATCGTGTCATATTTGACCCTCTTAAGTTTTTTTTTTTTTTTTTTTTTGCAAATCTACACGTTTGGAGATCACCTGAACCTCTCAAAAAAGTCAATAAAAGGGGAAAAAAATTGTGTTTGTATGTTGGCGTCTAATTTGTTTAATTTCTTTATTTTCTGTTCTGAGATATTAAACAATATCTCAGAATGGGTAAAGTTTAAGAAACAAAATGTGGCACTGTAGCTTGCATATAAAGGGGCATTAATACTATTAGATTTTGGTTCTTAATTAAAGGTCGACAGGGTGAAGACATAAAAGGGGTCACGTGTCATATCTCTTAATGAATATTTTACTCGTTACTAGTGTTCAAAATTTAAAAAAATAAAATAAAACTTGTCTCTACTCTCAAAGTAAGTTTTTTTTGTCAGTAATAGTACAGTAAAACCTGTTAAGATGTTCTCGTCTAAGATGTCAGAATGTGTATGGAGACACGATTTAGTTCAACCACTTTGATGCTTAATAACTAACTCCTGTGTTAAACCATCTGACTCCGATTCTGACCACTTTGACCACAGAAATTATTAGGCTTCAAACAGGGTGAGCAAAATCATGCCCCTCACACACAGTATAAGAACCACACATACAGAAAAAACCTAGAATCTTTTGCTTAATTAACTCGAAATTTCAAGGTGTTCTGAGTCCAAAAATGTAAAAATTTGGGAGAGGTCATTTTTTGACCGAGTGCTACACTTTGTTATATATCCTCTGTTATATATAACAGCCAGAAAAGTAAAAATTATCGAATACATATTTATATATTACTCAGAGGAATCTTTTAGCTTTGAAATAAAAAGTTTCTACATTCTATCTTTATTAGAACTCTATTTATTGAATCTTTTATTTTGAGGTCACGTAATGACATCAGAATTTCTGGGTCTCTTTCGGTAACTAGTCCGCCCCTGGTTGGAGTCAGAGTCAGATGGTAAGGAAGAGTTGGAGTCAGTAGATTTTTACGCAACTCCACAGTCCTGATTTTAAATCATATTGGTGCCAAAATTAAACATCTAAATGGAAAATAATTGCCATTAATTGCCAAACAGCAGTTGTTGATGGCCTTACAATTATAGAGCAGTTGAAAGGTTACAAAAATTTTACATTTATACTTGCCTTTTAATTGTTCTATGGTACAAGCTGACTGACAAGGAAATGATGAAGAGAATTTGCTTTGATTTTTTTCCGATGTGGTTTTTTTACTGCTACAGTACAGTTATCATAACTCTTTTCCTCAATTATGTAATAGTAAATCATAATTATCATGTATTTGTTGTTTTCCTTTTGTTGTGTTGATTCTGAAAATAGTAAATAAGGGTCAGATTTATATGCATTTAAAATTGCAATATATGTTCATACATATGTGTATAAAAATGTCAAATATATGCACTGCTTTGCACATTGAAATGCCTGAAATATGATTATGCATTAAAAGCACCAGTAATATATGCTAAAATTGTAGGTTGAAATGCATACATATTTTATTTCTGTCTGTGAGCAAATCTTACTAACATATATTACTTTACGTTTTTTAGGTGGGAGAGAAATAAACATGTAACTGTGAGGTCCTGGACAGAAATTGAAATTATATGTTTTTGATGATGATTATCTGGCATGACAGTTAAGTTCTCACCTTTCGAAATTAAAACAAAGCAAGACTTAAAGTCTCATTTAAACAATAAAAATTCTTTACATCAAAACAGAAAGCAAAATGCTAGAATTACAGTGGAGAATTCCAAAGTTTGGAGGAATTTTAGATGATCAGGATCAGGTTAAGTGTTGATAACAACCTCTCCTATGTCCCAAAAAATTTCAATTTGTCACTGGGAGACGAAGGAAGATCAATTGGAACATGGAATATAGGAGAGAATCCTATAAAAACTCATGTTTCAAGAACACGACGTTCTTTGCTCCAACAATTTGTTTTTCCTCCAAGATCTGCTGTTCATTCTCTCACCATTGTTCTATCTCCCAGCTCTGTTTGTTCTCTCTCCAAGATTCCTTCTTTTTCCAAGAACTGTTATATCCAAAGCTTAACAGTGAGTCCTGGGGCTGTTGATCTTGCAGACTACCAATGAGGGACCAAGTGAAGACATCCAATGGGACTTTTGGACTTTTACTGGACTCTCTCTCTCTTCTTAAAAAGAAATATTGAAGGAGAATTGTAGTGACAAGGGTATAGAAACTTTTGTAAGAAAACATTTAATATTTTATTAAATGGGAAAAAGTGAATGGTAAGCCTGTCTCAGTGTGTGTTTCATGCCAACGCACGATTATCTCAATCTTGACTGTCCCAACAATCTCACACAATTGACAGACTTTACATAACAATAGACGACACAAGGGATTTGAAAATTGTGATGTCATCCAAACACATATTAGAATAATGTTTCATATTGGAGCTGCACATTGATGTCAGTTATGAATAAAATTACACTAGTTGCATAACTAGCTTTGCTTGGGCTTTTAAGGAGTGAGATTGAGTTGGGAGAGGAAGATAAAAACAATGGTCTTAGCAACTAAAATGCACATTTATTGACCTCAGTATTTGCAATAATGAAACTACAAAACAAAAAAATTGTTCAGGTTAAAGTTAACAGAGGATGGGACCTGATATTATACATATGCCACTTTTCCATGCCTGAACCATTGCACCCTTTTCAAATCTCTCTTCAGTGGCATTATCTACAAGATAAGAGCTTTAATTTGATACCTGAATTGTATTTTTAGCTCCAGCCATTTATTTAAACTAAGTCAGACAAACTGAAACCCTCTTTCAATTAATACATAGATGTTCAATAAAATTTTATAATTTTCTATACTATGTAATCAATCAATCATTGAATTTATTTCTGTATAACCAATTGTTTATGAGATATTTGAAGATGACTGGGTTAATATAGTTCCCTTGTCTTAGTTAAGTCACTAGTCTCTAGTCATATATTTTTATTTATAGCCTTGTACAAATGATGAGAAATGCATAAATGCTCTTATTAAGTTATTAATTTGCATCTAAAATTTTCCTATGATAAATTACTGTTTTACATTTTATGTATGTATGTTTCACCATGCTGAGACACTTGAACAATCTTTTTAGTGGGAAATGATTTTGTTACTTATATTATATTACAGAATTTTTCCATCTGTTTTAAATGTCTGTAATCCAGATTTTTGTAATACATTCTTAGTGATTCAGCATTATCATTTGCTGTTTTATGTTTATTGTTGGTTGAACCAAACTCAAACTTTTCTGCACATGATCCATTCATGGAAGTTTGAATACTTCATTCATTATTAAGTTTATAGATATATAACATTTACAATAATTTTAATCCAATTAATTCACAGAAGTTTGAAAATTTGAAAGATGATACAATGTAAAACATTATTATTGGGACTTGAAAAGAATAAGAGTTTTCAATGGTTCAGATTTAAAACATTGAATTTTGTGTGCTCATCTGTTAATTGTGTGATACTTCTCACATAAACTGTACAAGCGCAAAAAAGATTTACTTGCTCTGATAGCAGGAATGAAACATTTGAAGAAAATAGCACTCACAATCATGCAAGCAAGCTGTTATAATAGTAGTTTATAAGGCACTTATTTAGTCCTGAAAGTGTTCAAATCTACAACATATGCAGTAAAAATCATGAATACATGTAAAATATACATTATTGAACAACCTTAATTTGATCCACTTGGACCCAAATATGTTTGTGTTGAGGTTTCAACATCATAACAATTAAAGAAAAAAGCATGCATGTTCATACAAAACCATTCCTTAGTAATAAGCAACAAATGGTTTTAAGAGTACTCATTACTTTTGGATTCTTACCAGTACTATACTTGAGCAATGAGTAATTATTATTTGTCAAAATAGATACAGATGATTTGGGATATTTTTGTCTAAAGTACCACCTTAATTTTTGACAACATTTCTTTTTTTATGTAACTTTCTACAATGAAAATTTTTTTATTACAGTAAAAATCACCAGCATGTTTCCGGTTGTTTTTGTTAAAGTAAATCTGTAGCAAAAAAAATAATAATTGGACAACAAAAGAAACACACACAACATACTTCATGTCTGTCATTTAAGAACTCGCCTTCTTTTCTCTCTATTTTAGCATCATTGCCAGTTTTTTCAACACAATAGCAATCTGAGTCAAGAGTATATCTGTATACTGCTGACCAAAGATAAAATACTATAAAATAAAAATAAAACTTTGATTAAAATTTCATTATAATGGTCGTTCATAATTATTACTTTAATAACATGTATTCTAACTGGAATTTCTTGAAAAAAATAACTTTTTGTCATACCAGCAGTTTATTATTTTTCTCACTAGTGGTTTTGGGCATTGAAGATGTCTGAAAACATATAACATAATAATTCTTAAAAATAATTAAAAATAAATGGTAAAATTGTCATATTTTAAGCTTATAGTAATATAAAAATATCAAATATTTATGATATACAATCAAGTTTGCTTAAGCTAGCACTGTTGGGATTGCTGTGGCACACTCCCTCCTTATGCATAATAACAAGATCACTCAATGGGTTGGTTGTTAATAGTATTCCATTCTCACTACTTTTTCATGTCTTAGGAACTTTATGTAATGTACAGCATGCTTAGAAACATTAAAATTTATTATCCTGTAATTTTAGTGTATTTCATATGTAATAATCACTTCACGTTGACTTTTTCAATATTAAAGGTTACACTTACATGTTGTGGTGCTATGAACAGTGACTGTTTAGAGCAGTGTTTCTCAAAGTGGGCGATAACGCTCCCTTTTGGGTGGTGAGTAAATTCAGGGGGGTGCTGGAGGCAGGGTACTGAACGGTGACCAAAGGCAAAAGTCGGGGTCACTGACAGCCGTTCTCTTTCCTCTGTTAAACAGATAAGAAGAAACATTGCGTTTAATGGTTTCCAGATGTTGATAACAATGTACGCTAAGGACACAAAGTGTGAGATTCATAGAAAAGTTTTTCTAAGAATATTTTCAATTCTTTCTCACACAAGAGAAAATGGGTTAGGAGGCGTTTGATATAACTGTATGGAACAAAGGGGGCAGTGGATCAAAAAAATTTGGGAATCACTGGTTTAGAGTTTGGATAAGTTCACAAGCACTTTCGATAACATACAGTTATCATCGTTTGAACGAAGAAGCTAGAATGTTCTATCTAGCTTCTTCGTTCAAATCAACAAGCTGTTCAAAAGTTCCAAATATAAAACTGTTGTATTTGATTTACACTGATGATGGTAACTGTATGTTATCAAAAGTGCTTGTGAACTTATCCAAACCCTAAACAGTCACTGTTTGTAACGCCATCATTTACTGTATTTTTGTAACACCTTTAATATTTACTGTATTTACATCATACTTGCTTTTATTCATACCGTCAATTTTATTATTCTATCAAATAATCAGTAAGTACAGTATATTTATCAGTCACTTATTTTCACTTCTTCCCAGAAATACAGTAGGAGGTCTAGCTGAAAAGCTCCAAAGTTTCTGAATGCTCTCTAATGGAATGTATGGTATAAAAACAAAGAAGTATAGTGCCATCTTAAAGTAAGGATGTGTGACCATTGAAATGTGCTTGCAAATCACTTCTTGCCTTGATCCCTTATGATGAGGACAAATGTATCAATACATGTAATATGCACTGTTTGCTCATATACAGGGTGTAATAAAACTCTGTACCAATATTTTAGGGATAGATTTAGGGTCTAAAGCAAAGTATCTCTTAAAATATTGGCACAGAGTTTCATTACACACTGTATATTTTATGAAAACTTTTTAATGTGTAATTGCTGATGGCCAAATTGTTAAGGTGGCAGTATACTGTTCTGGGGGACCAGAGATAGAATCCAGATAGATTGAAAAACCCCAAAAACTTTTTGGAGGATGTCAGTCCGGATACATTGAGCCCCATTTCTCATCATTGCATCACTGCCCCCATTGTAGGCCTGGTCAAACCCATAATGGACTTGCTTAAAAAAGGACCTTTTTAAGTTTGTTAGAAAACTGAACAATGGTAGGTTTCATAAAATCTCATAACAGATACCAGTGTAGAGAGCCTTGTCATCATACACCATGGAGAGTGATATATTGTAAAATTAAAGATAGACCCTTATAAATCTTCCTTAGAATAATGATTCCTTATGTAGACGCTGCGCTAAAAATGAATCAATATGGAGCTTGTTTAAATGGACTGCTCTACTATCTGAGAAATTGAGAACATGGGAACAGGGGCCATATTCTGGTCATTGTCTCTCGTCTCTGAAAGACAGTGTCTACATCACAAGCCGGCCGTTGATTGGTTAATCATTTGTTTATGTCTTGAGAGATTGGCTTGTCTCTCCAAATGTGATTTTGGGACAACGTCTTCTCTCAAACATTCTCTTATCTCTCAGAGATGAGTGGATAGTTGTCTTTCGACTGGTCTTTCTTATTTTGCTTCAATTTCGTTATATCCAATATTGATGACTGGATGCTACTTACCTTATACAACCATATTAGGAATATTCTCTTTCTGAGAAAAGAATATTTTGAGATAGATAATGTTTATGATTTTTTTAAGTGGCTACTCTGGAATGCCACTGACTCCATCTTTTTTTAATGATCTTGCATCAATTTCTGAACTATTGAATATGCTATTAACCTTATCCATCTATCTAAGTATTTTTCGAAATATTACCATTCTAATTTCTCCCTAAATATGTATACTTTCCTAATTTAGGTTAATAAAATTTTTATTTGTTAAGAGAGAGTGTTACCCAAGACATTTTGACATTACGATATTTAAAAACATTACAAAACAAAAAACATATCTTTATCAAAATTACATGCTTTGTTTGAATGTGTGCTTTCTTTACCATGTGATCTATAATTTTGTACTTTTCATTTTTGAAAATTTTACAATTTTATTGGTTAAAATTTTATACTGTGTTGCATGTGCAGATAACCTGAACATGTATAAGCAACCTAATAGAATTGTGACGCCAAAAAAAAAAAGACGATATCATTATGAACGACCAGAATCACCCGTCTCTGAGAGACAAATTTTATCTCTTGGTTTGACGTCATTTGTCTCTGAAGAAGAGATGAGAGATAAATGACCAGAATATGGCCTCTTGTTCTCTTGAGTGAACATCCTTATCTGATGCTCTGTTAAGGAGACTCAACTGTATAACAAATAATTTTAGCAAATTGAAAATATTTATTTTTTATTATCTTTATAATTGCTTAAAATATTTTTTTCTTGGTTTGTTTTTATTTCATTTTATATTGTGTGTTAATTTATTAATTTTCCTTTATTATTCCAATTAGATGGTACCACCATTGAGCATGGTAGATAATCCCATTAATGCTGTTACTACAAAGTTTGTAAGAACTTCAACAAATAAGATGAGATGTCCAATATTTTGTGTTGCTGTAAGTATTAAATATAAAATTTCTATTTAAAAAAAATTTTTAAATACAAAATTACATTACAAAAGACAATGAAATTAAATTTTGTAAATCATTCTAAATTAAGAGATACACAGTATCAATGATACAAAAATAAAAAGACTAAAAAGTTTTAAACTAAGTATGTTTAACTGTTCTTATTTAAGACTTCAGATTAAAGGTTTGTTGCAGATTGTAAGATGCAGTTAACAGAACATATTTTAAACCTACAGTTTTGAAGAAAAGCAAACTGCTGGTTTAGTGGTATGTATTTAAGTTTGCTGTTAAAGAGGTTAAAAAATACCTTGTGAATGTTAACCACTGTGTAAGACATTTATTAATCTCTTTAACATCAAAGTTGAGATGATACGATTGAAATGATAGTTGTTTTTCTTAAAAATGTAGATTTAAAATCTGTTCTGTTAACTGCATGTTCCAATCAGTAACATAGTTCTAGTCTGAAGAAGTCTTAAATAAAAATGTCAAAAGTGATATTTTAAAACATTTTTTAAATCATTGTTAAAACTTTATCTCTTAATTTGAAGTTTTCTGAGAAAAATGCCTATTTATTTCTAAATACTAAAATTCACACCTTCCTCTCACTTTTCAGTGGATGCTGGAAAGTGAGTGGAAGGTGTGAATTTTAATATTTAAAAGATAGTTCCTGCTTTAGAATTAACAAATATTTATTTCTATTTGTACATCACTCTGTTTTCTTAAAATGTAAAACTTTATAAAAGTTCAATGTTTCCAGACATATTATTTTCTCTAATAAATACAGCAGAGTTCTGTACAAGGTGGGGGATACATTCCACGTTATAGGAAATCACATTATTGAGACATGCCTTATTAAACAATTTTATGCAAGTTTAAACATAGGCCTTGAAGTTCAAGAAGAAAACATTTACCTCTGGACTTGTGTCTCAATTGTGAATTTTTTCATTGCATTACAGGAAAATTCACTCTGTTTGTTTAGTTATTTCAATTATTGATTTCTATCTGTTATACACTGCTAGGTTTAAAATCTTTCAGGAATTTCTTTATTATGCAGAAATCAGTAAATCATCATATTTTAAATTTTGGAACCCTATTTTTATTCTTTATTCTTCCGAACTGGGGAAGTCAAAAACTGAAGAAATTCAACAGGAAACGTTTTAGTTTTTTTAGAGTCAGCATCAGCCAAAAAGTTTATTATAATCGTCCAAAATTATGCTATGGAAGATTATAATTAACTTTTTTGGCTGATGCTGACTCTAGAGTTGAAAATGTTTGATTGAATTTTTTCAGTTTTGGCTTCCTCAACTTAGCAGAATAAGGTTGAAATCAATAAAATTATTGCTATTTAAACTAAATATTTTTCAAAATAATTTTCTGCACGGATACATACTTTGCCAGCATTAATAAAGATTTTGGAAATGGTTCTGAAATTCATTTTTTGAAATTGTTTTGAACATCTTTGTTGTGTCTTTGATATTGTCATCAGCACTTGGAAATTATTCTCATTTTAGGAAAACTGTGATGGTAAGTAAATATTTGAATATTTGGTGATGCCAAATCAAAAGAATATGCAGCATACTTCAGTGGCATTATATTGTGCTTTGCTAGGTACAACTTGATCATTAAAGGTTGATGTGCAAATACATTGTCATGAAGAAGAAACCAACTATTTTGTGTTTTGTTTGTATAAACTTGTGATTTCTTCATTGTCATGTCACTATGCTCATTGAAGCATTATTAATATCTGTAGTGATGATTTCTGAAGCAAAATGCAAAGCTTGATATTGCCAGGTTTCTCAATTGTTGATATTTCAACTGTAATGTTACTAAATACATCGTAAACAAACAGATTGCAGATGCTCCAACATACAAAGAGCTTGATATTCTGAAATGCATCATCAGACAACATGAGTGTTGGCAACCTCTAAAACCAAAAAAAATCTCAGGCAAATTTTTATCTGTACAGTTTTTGAAGTAAATGAGGTATTTTGTTCATATATTTTTTCATGAAAAATGTAATCATTTCATTATTTTCAGAATTGTCAAATATATTAGAGCAATTATGATAAATTATATACATTGAATACAAACTTCTGAAATGAGTGTATATATTTTAAAATGCATTATAAGTTAATAAAGAAATACAAATTAGCATTTGTATTTCATATTCAAATAATATACAGAGTGATTATAATATCTTGAACCATTTTTTTGTGAAAATGGTAACAAAATTGTTTGTTTGCAAGTGATGTGAAACCTGCTGACTCAAGAAAAGAAAACTGTTGTGGTTAGCATATGTTTGAGTGGATTAACATATAGGGAAGTACCATCAAATCCTCTTGTTCCATAGCCTTCAAGAGATTGTGACTCATTACTTGGCAGGTGGCGTATTTTTTTTTCTTCTCCTCCAGCTTATGTAATACCTAGAATACTGTCAAAGTTTTATGAGATTGAATGAAAGATCTCTCACACTGTTGGTTATGGCACAGTGAGCACCCAGCTTAGTCTTCTGATTGATGATATAGACACTGTTATTACAGTTTATACACATTGAACCATTTTGTCCAATATGGTGCGTTTCCCAGAATGTTGTGCATCATGGACATTATCTGTTCACCTGAATTTGGTAACCAACAGCTTGATATTGGCAGACTTTCTGAATTTATGGGTGAAGTTTGTATGTACTGTACTTCCATTTACGTTAATCCACTAAAGCAGCGGTTCCCAATCATTTTTCATTAGCGTACCTTCATGGCATTTCCAACTTCCCAACGAGCAATGCATGCGCAAATCTCACACTGCCTGTTTGTAGAAAGTGTCTCCATTTTGAATTTTATTTTGACTCTGTTCTCGGTCCCCTGAATACCTGCAAGTCTGTTTTTTTTTTTTATGCATGCATGATTTGAGCACCTAATACGTTGTGCCAAATTGCAACTTTTGACATGTGCTGTACTTCTTCATACCTCTAAGCTGGTAATACAGCAGGCAGTACGATTTTATAAACAAGACATTAGTCTTGTCAATAAAAAATTAATAAAAATACTGAATAAATAATGAAAAAAATTACAGCTTGTAGAGAAAATCTGGAGAAACTAGCTATGTCCTTTTCCTTGCAAACAATAAAAAATACTTTTATAAACAAAAGAATACTTTTTCAAACAACACGTAGGGATGTTGTTGAGAGATAATAATAATAATGGTAACACACCCCACCATCAAAAGTCCATAGCATAATCACTAATCACATATAACACATATAATGGTATCCCCACTGCCATTGATCGACTGTGCAACATTTATTGATCTGTTGCATTGTACAATTGGCAGCATAAGTTTTTATTTCTATTTTTGCATTTTGAAATGTATAATAAAGTTTGTGATTGTTGCAAGGAACATTTTCTACCTAATAATTTTTTAATACTATTAATTTGTGATACATAATATATTATTTTTTCTGTCATAATAAGTAACTTTTTTCTGTACCCCTAAACAACCTATTGCAAACCCCGGGTTGGGAATTGCTGCACTAAAGCATATGCAAACAATAGTGATTCTGTCTTCTTGGATCAAGTTTCACATGACCTTCATACAAATGATTTTGTTACCATTTTGACAAAAATGAATCAAGACTCTATAATCATTCTGTATAATACAGATAAGAAAATATACAGTATAAGTTCAGAAATCCAGATAACTAAATATCCAGACTTTTTAAAATAAGAAGCTTTTGTGAATTTTATGCATGAGATTTGGACATATAGTGAAAAGCAGTTTAATCACAAAGCAATGATAAACTCATAAACAAAGTGATTTAAGAAAACTGTAGAAGCACTTATTCCATAGAACAAGTTTTTCCATCCACAAGTAGAGTATATCAGATACACGTGAAGTCAAAATGAAGGAACAATTTTCATTTTTTTTTTTAAATTAAAAATGCTTCTTTGTGAACACTTTTCAGAATAAATTTGTACTGTATTATTTTGTAGAAAAACACCAACAGGTTTACTTGTTTTCTTTTTTTTTATTCTTCCTTAGATTTGAATTTTAAAAGTTACTTCTGAAAATATGGAAAATGTAGAAATTCAGACTATCCTAATTCTAAGCAGTCTAAATTTTTAAATGTTTATTGTAATGAATTTGTATTTATTGATAAAAATAATTATTCACGTTAATTATAATTAAAATATTAACAAATATACTTTTTTCATTTTAGTGGACACCTGAGGGAAGAAGACTGGTAACAGGGGCATCTAGTGGGGAATTTACCTTATGGAACGGCTTGACTTTCAATTTTGAGACAATATTACAGGTATGTTTATATTTTTTATAATAATTGATTGATTAAGACAATTCAAATATTTTAGCATTATTAAAATCCTGTTTGTTAATTAGTTACATGATTTTAATTAACACATTTAATACCAAGAAGTTTCTTACTTTGTTGTTAAAAAACATTTAATCAGTTTGGATAGCATATAATGGGCAAACCTTGCTACAATAAGAGCCATACATTGCATATCAGAAATACGTGAGATTCACATACTCTATTGTAGAGCTGCATCCTTTGTATATAATATTTTAACTATATATAATATAATTATCGTTGTTAGTTTACTTTGTTTATCTGGTCATCATAAAGTACCATAATCACGTAACTCTTTTAATCTTATCAATATGATCTAAGCTTTTGGCTGCCTGTTCAAGATTAAGTCACAAGTTTTGCTTATATTTTCTTTGTATATTATACTATGTAATAGTCAGAAAACTTACAAAACTATTCTATTTGTGTAAGTATTCAGAAACCACAATAATGGTTTAGAAGAGCCACATTCAGCTTGTGAGCCACAGTTTGGCCACTCCTGGCATATAATATTTGAATCATTTTTATTCTTATAGAATATACATCATTATTATGATCATTAGTTATTCCTGAAAATAAATTGATTAAATGGCAAGCTATGAATTAATTGAATATTAGAAATTTGGTTATGGTATAATATATTTTATGCTTATATTTTAAATATTTAGAAACTAATAATAATAAGCTGTAAATATTAGTGATATTAATTAAAAGAAATTTTTATTTTGTACCTATCTTATTTTACTACCTCTGCTCTGAAATAGTTCTCCCATTTTATATTTTCTTTCCACACTTTTGCATTATTTGTCAGAATTGACATTAGATCAATAGAATATAACTGTATAAAAAGAAGAATAAAATATAATAAAAATGTTATAAGTCAGTTTATTCTAGTCATTTTTAGATGGTATATTTGTAAATAAAATTCATTCAATACACTATTAAAAAAATGAATAATTCAAGAGGTAATTTGTAGAGCTTTCAGATTTGAATCAAATTAAGCAAATATTCGTAGAGATTAGAGCTTGAATAAGAAATAAAAAAGAAAAATGACTAACAAAATTTCTAATTAGAAACTTACTACACCATCTAATGTTTGCTGAGAAAAATTTGTTTAATGAACAGACATTTTCATCATGATTTGTAATGGTTGAAGTTCTTGTTGCAGTGGTATAAATATAGTAAACATGATGCTATGACTATTTCAAGCATTAAATGTAATCCTGAGATTCTCTTAAAAGTTAAAGAATGTTTAAATAATAAATGATATTTTAAACTATTCTCAAAATAACTTCTGATTATTGCGAATGAAAATTGTTCATTTGCAATTCTGATTAGTACACATTTTTATTTCTATTATGCAAATGCTACTGTAATGAATTTCAAATAAAATATTTTTAACTCTAGTTTTTATATCTGTTCAAATGTATAAAACTATAATTATAGTAAAACATGTAAAGAAATCTATGCAGAAGTGTAAATTTATGGAAAATTGTAAAATAAAAAAGCCGTATAACATTTTAAAAATGAGGATTTTTGCTTTACAGCATTTTGGATTTTTAATAGCATAGATTTTTGTACTAAAAACACTGACTGTCTGAAGTGATACAATTATAATGTGTATTTTCACATAACATTGGATGTTCTATTATGCATTCACCACAAGTGGGAGAAATGCATTGAATTAAATGCATCCCACAGATCAAATTCTGTCTTATAAGTGACTTCCTATGAAACCATTCCCTTTGTAAGAAGACTTTCGAATTATTCTTCAGTATTTCAATACACTATTATTAATTTAGTATTGTTCATAAGAATAAACTACAAGACCTTTTGGCATTAAAGTTGTTTACTAGAAAAGTTTTTAACCACAAGCAAATACTTTTAACAATGTCAAAAGTATTCACTTGTAGCTTATTCTTATTCCAAGTTTGCTGTCGTTAGTGAGTACATTTTTATATTTAGTATTATTCAATAATATTACTATACTCTCTGTTAGCTTATATGTTTTGATGATGTAATACATTTAAAAGGTATTAAGAAATAAATAAATATTTGTTTATAATAATAAGAAAAAATTATTTTTTAATCTGCAGGCTCACGATTCACCCGTTCGATGCATGGTTTGGAGTCACAGTGACGTGTGGATGGTAACGGGCGATCACTCAGGATACGTGAAGTATTGGCAGAGTAACATGAATAACGTGAAAATGTTTGAAGCACACAAGGAACCGCTACGTGGAATAAGGTGGGCATCTGTGGTGAGAGAAAACCAGGATAGTTTTGTTGCAGTGGGTGAAGTAATTAGTTTTTCCCAACAACTGACTTACTGGTATTACTCTCAACTATTTATGATGTTGAATGTTATTCTTGTAACTGTATTAGTATCAATGGTCAGGAGTTATTCAATAAAGTTTTATACACTTAGGATTAAAATTTGTACATAAACATTTTTGTAAGAATTGGAGATATTTAATAAAGCTTTGGCCCATTAATTTTAAAATAGCAAATGGAAATATTTATGTATTTACCCCTTTCGATTTTGTATCAATAAAAAGTGCAATAAAAATAAAAAAAGACGAAAAAAAAATATTTTAAAAACGAAGGAACACAATTATTAAAATAATTTATTAAATAAATATGAAAAAACTGATGTAATTATTTTAATTTTTTGGAAATTCTGTACAAATTTTAGGCAAATAAAGCAGGTTGTTTTGGGAAGTATGAAAATCAGTTATATATATTATGTTCTAATTATAAAATGATGCATGTAACCTGGAAACATAAATTGTTACACGCATAATTAGCCATATATTTAGATAATTTTAAACGTATAATTAATTCACGTTGCCAATTTTGATGTATAATTAACATAATAGGCAAGTGTACATCATAAAACACTTAAAAATTGCGGATAATTTAAATATTAAATTACTTTCTAAATTTCATATGAACTCCTTTGCATAACGAATTCATCTCCATTTCTTAATTGTAGTCACAACTTATTATATTTAAGAAATATTGTCGATTTCTTTTTAATTCGAATTAAAAACGAAATAAATTTACTTTTAATTGTAATTAAGGAAATTGACATATTTTTCAACAATGAAAAGATTAGCGTTTTTTTATAATTGTTAATTGTTTTAAAAATATGTACATTTCATTAATTGCAATCAAAAAATTGTTTCTTAATTTAAATTAAAAAATGAATTAAATCTATATTTTAATTGTAACTAAGGAGTGAGCGTATTTTAAAATTATNTAGGAGAATTTTCATCATATTTTTCAGAGTTTTTTAAAATATTGAAATAAAAGAGAATTTCTCAAGAAAAATTATTTCATTATAAAATTAAAGAATGATGATTAGTGATGAAAGAAAGCCAACATATTTCAACTGTTTAACATTTAAAAAACAAATAAAACATTGTTAATTTATTGTAGAAGGCAGATACACACGAGTGGAAAAATTAGGATGGCATTGAATCCCAGTTTAAACCCACCATTCCATTTCAAGATCTAAAGAGGTAATTGGTGGCTGCTGATGTTCAATGTTGCCTTAATTTTGCCATCTGTGTGCATCTGCCTTTAGTTCAACATTTTTGGATATTTTTAAAGCCATTAAGCTTTAACAAAACTCTTGAAGACAAAAAAACCTTTAAGCTAATTTTTTTGGAATTTTATTCAAATATACCCCAAAGTTTCATCCTTGATGACATTAGAGAGGTTGCGGCCAACGTTTTCAATGCAAAAACGCATACGTCGGACATTCAGCACCCCCATCCTGTAAGCCTAGAAGTTTGACAATGGCGTTTGGAACGTCAGTGGAATCATGCTTGACGTTCTAAATGCCATTGTCAAACTTCTAGGCTTACAGGATGGCGGTGATGAACGTCCGACGTACACGTTTTCTCATTGAAACGTCGGCCACAACCTCTCTGTTTTAAGGATATTGCACGGATACATACTTTGCCAGCATTAATAAAGATTTTGGAAATGGTTCTGAAATTCATTTTTTGAAATTGTTTTGAACATCTTTGTTGTGTCTTTGATATTGTCATCAGCACTTGGAAATTATTCTCATTTTAGGAAAACTGTGATGGTAAGTAAATATTTGAATATTTGGTGATGCCAAATCAAAAGAATATGCAGCATACTTCAGTGGCATTATATTGTGCTTTGCTAGGTACAACTTGATCATTAAAGGTTGATGTGCAAATACATTGTCATGAAGAAGAAACCAACTATTTTGTGTTTTGTTTGTATAAACTTGTGATTTCTTCATTGTCATGTCACTATGCTCATTGAAGCATTATTAATATCTGTAGTGATGATTTCTGAAGCAAAATGCAAAGCTTGATATTGCCAGGTTTCTCAATTGTTGATATTTCAACTGTAATGTTACTAAATACATCGTAAACAAACAGATTGCAGATGCTCCAACATACAAAGAGCTTGATATTCTGAAATGCATCATCAGACAACATGAGTGTTGGCAACCTCTAAAACCAAAAAAAATCTCAGGCAAATTTTTATCTGTACAGTTTTTGAAGTAAATGAGGTATTTTGTTCATATATTTTTTCATGAAAAATGTAATCATTTCATTATTTTCAGAATTGTCAAATATATTAGAGCAATTATGATAAATTATATACATTGAATACAAACTTCTGAAATGAGTGTATATATTTTAAAATGCATTATAAGTTAATAAAGAAATACAAATTAGCATTTGTATTTCATATTCAAATAATATACAGAGTGATTATAATATCTTGAACCATTTTTTTGTGAAAATGGTAACAAAATTGTTTGTTTGCAAGTGATGTGAAACCTGCTGACTCAAGAAAAGAAAACTGTTGTGGTTAGCATATGTTTGAGTGGATTAACATATAGGGAAGTACCATCAAATCCTCTTGTTCCATAGCCTTCAAGAGATTGTGACTTATTACTTGGCAGGTGGCGTATTTTTTTTTCTTCTCCTCCAGCTTATGTAATACCTAGAATACTGTCAAAGTTTTATGAGATTGAATGAAAGATCTCTCACACTGTTGGTTATGGCACAGTGAGCACCCAGCTTAGTCTTCTGATTGATGATATAGACACTGTTATTACAGTTTATACACATTGAACCATTTTGTCCAATATGGTGCGTTTCCCAGAATGTTGTGCATCATGGACATTATCTGTTCACCTGAATTTGGTAACCAACAGCTTGATATTGGCAGACTTTCTGAATTTATGGGTGAAGTTTGTATGTACTGTACTTCCATTTACGTTAATCCACTAAAGCAGCGGTTCCCAATCATTTTTCATTAGCGTACCTTCATGGCATTTCCAACTTCCCAACGAGCAATGCATGCGCAAATCTCACACTGCCTGTTTGTAGAAAGTGTCTCCATTTTGAATTTTATTTTGACTCTGTTCTCGGTCCCCTGAATACCTGCAAGTCTGTTTTTTTTTTTTATGCATGCATGATTTGAGCACCTAATACGTTGTGCCAAATTGCAACTTTTGACATGTGCTGTACTTCTTCATACCTCTAAGCTGGTAATACAGCAGGCAGTACGATTTTATAAACAAGACATTAGTCTTGTCAATAAAAAATTAATAAAAATACTGAATAAATAATGAAAAAAATTACAGCTTGTAGAGAAAATCTGGAGAAACTAGCTATGTCCTTTTCCTTGCAAACAATAAAAAATACTTTTATAAACAAAAGAATACTTTTTCAAACAACACGTAGGGATGTTGTTGAGAGATAATAATAATAATGGTAACACACCCCACCATCAAAAGTCCATAGCATAATCACTAATCACATATAACACATATAATGGTATCCCCACTGCCATTGATCGACTGTGCAACATTTATTGATCTGTTGCATTGTACAATTGGCAGCATAAGTTTTTATTTCTATTTTTGCATTTTGAAATGTATAATAAAGTTTGTGATTGTTGCAAGGAACATTTTTTACCTAATAATTTTTTAATACTATTAATTTGTGATACATAATATANTTAGTTCAACATTTTTGGATATTTTTAAAGCCATTAAGCTTTAACAAAACTCTTGAAGACAAAAAAACCTTTAAGCTAATTTTTTTGGAATTTTATTCAAATATACCCCAAAGTTTCATCCTTGATGACATTAGAGAGGTTGCGGCCAACGTTTTCAATGCAAAAACGCATACGTCGGACATTCAGCACCCCCATCCTGTAAGCCTAGAAGTTTGACAATGGCGTTTGGAACGTCAGTGGAATCATGCTTGACGTTCTAAATGCCATTGTCAAACTTCTAGGCTTACAGGATGGCGGTGATGAACGTCCGACGTACACGTTTTCTCATTGAAACGTCGGCCACAACCTCTCTGTTTTAAGGATATCAAAGTGTCAAATGACACACTAAGGCTTTGAAAATGTTTATGTAGCATAAAATTAAGATTTCTTTACTTAAGAGAGTTTTACTTGTTTTGAAGACATTGAATAATGGATAAATTCAATAAAATTTTTATTATAGTAACTTGAAAATTTAGAATTTATATATATAAAACAGTTTACAGTTGCCATCATCTTTGCAAATTCTATAACCTTGTAAAGATAAAAACTTTTAGAAGCAATATATTTAAATCATTAAAGTCTTGACTGACTTATACTTAAGCCAGATTTTTCTCTTTGTTGTGACGTTTAGGGAAATTGTTAAGTATTATAAATTATATATTAATACATATTCTGAAAAATTACTTGGTAAATTAATTCAATATCTCTTTTATTAAATGAATGATTAATGTTTTTAGAATGACGAACATTCCAATAACATTAATCATTTATTTAGTTAAAAAAATATTTTCTGGCATCCCCAAAAGTAACTGCTTTCTTAGATATCAACACTCACAATTCACACATCTTTTTACAGCAGCCAAAAACTTTAATAACTAATAATTTTAGTTATTTTTATAATCCTCAGATTACAAACTTTAAATTTGAATGATATAGAAATGCAACTTGTTTTCTGTTCTACATTATTTACGTTGCATTTCTAGATTGATTTTCCATCTAGTTCAATTTAGAGTTTGTATCCTGAGGTTGGTCTTTAAAAATGACTGAAACCATTAGTTATTAAAGTTTTTTGCTGCTGTAAAAGATTGCATGAGAGTTAATATTTTCTGACTTCTTAAAACTCAAATATTTTTTTTTGCTTATTATTATAAACAAAAAAACTGCTTAATTAAAGCCACCAACTCAATG